GAGCTGCCTGCTGGTCACAGACAGATCACAAAGTAAGAGCCCAACTGACACCCCCCATCACTTACCCACAAGCTGTGGAGAACCCTGATGGCCCACATTGTCTTCATTTCACACAACCATAAAAAATTCCGTCCAAATTTTAATTGTGGCTGTGCATGTGTAAGGAGAGAAGGAATGAGCAAGTACAGGCTCTGATGCTCCTGGCTGCTCAAACCTATTGATTCTGGTAGTGTGCTTGCTTGGGCATCTCCACTGCCTTTGTGGGGGTGGCAGCTTGCAAGCTCAGTCTGGATGCAGTAAGAGAGAAAGGCTAGTCCATTATCACTGCTCTCCCGGTTATGCTGCGAGGTGAAATGAATACATCCTGTTAACTAGGTTTCTAGGTTTATTGTTCTCAGTCAAAGTAGGAACATTTGTTATGAATAAAAGCAAGGGGAAGACATTTTTCAGCATGACACTGTTGTGATAAATCTTAAAAACATTTCCAGAATAACTGTTGGAAGGTATGATTCATTTGGAATAAATGTTTGTCTTTTTTGTATGGTTTCTCATTGTTATTTAGTGATCAATTCATGAAACTGAGCATAATTCTTAAATAGAGATGCAACTGGTTTATGATGGCACAGTTACCTAGCAACTACTTCCAACACCTGAACACAGGTAACACCGGGACATTGATACAAAACTGTTTTACTCTCATTTATGCAAATATGGCACATTGAAAACCCATCAGTGATGCTTGCAACGGTTGATGGGGATTCACTGTTGCAACTATAGCAGAAAGATTTGATTGAATAATTTGTTATCATTGGGTTAGTGGTAACTGATTTCTCCCAAACCTATTCACGTAATCCAGTATTGATACGATGGAGCTGGTGTAAGCTGACTAAAAGAATGTGTTTGTTCAGCGCTGTCCGTGATCCCCAGGGCCCAGGCAGAGAGCCCAGTAATGGTTTAGCAATAAAGCGACTGCATGTGGCATTATTAGCGATTGATCCTGTAAGGGAATTGCTATCGCTACTTTGTCTGTTATGTTATGCCCTTGATCACGTGATATAGATAAGCAGCAGAGACATGACAGCACAGCCTCACACTCCTTGACTGTACTGGCCTATAGGGGTAACACTGGTGGCAGTGCGGGTTGACATGCAGGCAGGGTGTTGGGTAACATAGCCAGCCCTGTGTGTGCTGGCAGTATGGCTGTTGTGCAGTGGGTAACTCAACTCTTTAAATTCCTGCTGACCTGTCACCACTAACCCTAACTGGGACTAGAATTATTGTGACACAATGTTTATGAGTTTGGCAGCATGAGCTTCAAACTGTGAGCTACCTTACTTTCCTGCTTAAACAATAGGAAAGTATTCTGCATGTGGATCTCTTTTCACTTTCACAGGTCTTTCCTGCCCAAAATACTCACCAGATTTACAGCATTTATTAACAGTCATCTTGGTTACATATCAGAACAGCTGAAATGGCTCCCATCTTGATTCAACATGGGTAAATGGTTTAGTCACTGGGTATTGGCAATGGGGTTGATTGTTTATATGGAAGGTCTGGTTTCAACTTCCATATTGTTACAATGAGAACCGACATAACATAAATTCCACATTCAATATGAGGTTCTTTATCAGAAATGTGAATATTGCAGCTTTGTAAGAATTAATGAAAGACAGGTGAAATTTGCACGGGTATCTGTTCCATGGCAAGGGATGAGCAGGATCACAACCCTGCATGCCTTGGTCCACATCCTCAATGTACAGGGTTTAACACGACACAGATATGTATGTCCAATAACAAATGTATGGTATGGATGCAGATAAAAACAATTACCCAATTCTTGACAAAAGTCCTGCAATTACAGTAATTAGCAAATTGTACACTACATTACATTATTTCATTACTATACAGGAACTCGTGAAGATGCGGGGTAGAATAGGTCGTCAGCAACCCATGCTTGCTGTAAAAAGTGATTATATGCTTGTCTTAAGAGACGTCTAATGGGATCGAGTGGTCAGCTCTCTGGCTTGGTTGATGCATGTCATCGTATCCTAATTGCGTAGATCAATGCTCATGATGTCAATCACTGGATTATCTGGAGCAGACTTGATTATTTACAGATATTTGGAATATTGCTGAGTGCTGTGTTAAACAATAAACAAAACCTTCACCGGGCTCTGATGTTTCCTGTTTGTATCTTGAAATTAATGATTGGGGGTCCCCTGTAATCCTAGATTTGTAGGGCAAAGTAAAACACTGAATGTATTTTGTATAGGATTCTAGGATTCAAACCCAATGTACTTTCAAAGAGGAGGTTATATGTCAGTGGGAGTTTGTTTACAAAGTGAACTGGCAGTTTTGATATGTTATTGATTGCAGGATAATTACTGCAATGTCTCGGCCTGCTAAAGTAATACTTGGTACATGCTGATCGATAGGCAGTAGACATACATCCTAATGCTACAGCACCTGGAGCACTGACTACCAGCGGGAGCATGCTAGTTTAACCAGGGCAGTGTCATCAGTCATATGATACAGGACTCTTCTCATGCATTGTAACATTATACAAATGATTACTCTTCACCAGGTCAGTATGCAAACACAAGGACCTGACCCTTCGCCAGTCTGTACCAAGATTAATTGTTTGTTTTGTTATTCTGAAATTCACTTAAAAGTTTATGAAGCCATTAAACTGTCCTCTGTTTCATTACAGAAACTTATCTGCGAACCTTGAAATGTTAGTACCAGACGCCAATATTCAGAGTCAATATTCATCTTGGATGACTCATTATTCGAAGTCTGCCAGTCACATGATTTGGGGATCACCATTGAAATATCTTTCCAAGGACATTTTGTTTGCGACCTATACCTTGAAAACTACTAGTCTACATGGATTCTTTTCAAACTTGGTGAAACTTTATATACCTATAGGAGAGATGCAGTGCAAACTTTGATTTCAAAATTTGGATTTTCTAAAACAAATACAGTTCTTTAGGGGAAAAGTGATATGATATTTTTCATGTTGTGAAATTAGAATATGTTTTTCCTTCAACATTTGAGACTTAAATTCTAATTCTAATTTTTTTCCAATTGGGGGATACAGTTTCTATACCAATTGGAGAGGTGCAGTGCTAAGTTTGATTTCGATAAATGGATTTTCTTACAAAATATTGCTTTTTTAATGTTTTGAACTTAGGAATATGTTTGACTCGAAGTCGGGGTTTTAGTGAGCTCTGTTAGTTATTGGAAGATATGGTCCTAACTTAAATGGTTTGTGCATTTTGTGTTAGTATAGTGAGACACATCAGCTCCTGTTTGGGTCAGGGGGAGAGTAACAGTCAGCTATATGACGGTGATCTGAAAATAATTGAGTCTGTATCAGATAATCCGGTGATTGATATCATCAGCATTGATCCATGCAATTAGTTGCCTTAGACAACAAATAAACAAATAGTAGATTGTGACTTTTCAATAAATTTAGCATGAAGCTTCCTATCAGTCTGTTCTAGAAATTTAAAAATCTTCTTTTAATTAACTTTAAGGCCCCAAGGACTGAAACTTGGTTGTGATATGGTCACCTTGTGCAGTGTCAAGTTTGTTCAAGACATCTTGATCAGAAATCAAACATGACTGTCAATGACCATATTGTAGAATGAGTCATTCGTCCAGCATGCATCTTACGTCGTGAGTCTCCTTCTCAGCACTGCACCAATGAAGCTGAAACTTCATGTTTGTTCCCACAATTTGTTTAGGGGGTCTGAATCCAATGTTTAATGTGGCAGCCGCGGCTAGACATATTTAAAAAAACTAGTTTTGGACATTACCTTTGCAAAATGTACACGTGTAGTAGGGCTCAGCTGTATGTTCTGTTTCTTGCAATGTTTTGAGTTTTGACATTTTTACTTGTCCGTTGCGCTTTGGCCACACTGAAAGCTGAATTTTCTTATGGCCATTACCCGACCATTTTGTTGGCGATATTTAAAATTTTGACCTATTTTTTATCGTTGCTCCTAAATTTTCTCAAAATGCATTTCCTGACACTGAAAACATCTCCTGCTCAGAAGCTACTGAACCATTTCTGCTCTAAATGCTCTTAAATTCTTTTCTTTCATAATGCAGTTTTGAGGCTGATATTTTTGCCAAACTGAGGAAGCAGGACTTTGGCATATGATTCTCCCTATGATGACATCATGTTGTGTTCAAATCATCATTGGGGTCACGGATGGCCCAGTCGTCTAAGGCACCGCGTTTCGCTGTGCAGAGTTGCGTCCCTTGGGCACGCCATAAACCTATGATTGTGGGTTCGAATCCCGGTTCGCCCCGATTGTGTTTGTAGATTTGTCAGCACCATACCCGTGATCGTGGGTTTTGCTGAAGTGGTAAACATCTGATTCCTGCGTCATTTTGGGCTTTTCTCCCACATTAAGCTGACACGCCGCGATATAACTGGAATACTGTTCAAAGCGGCGTATAACCCAACTCACTCACTCACTCACTCAAATCATCAGTGTTTTACTGTGTACTTTGGGAAACAAGTGGGACATCTGTATGGCTTGGGACAAAATATTCTGTTTGGAATGTTTAGGAGGCTCAAGAGTTGATACTTGGTGTTATTATAGATTTAACCGTTGTGTATTGCAACAATGTTTTGCAATAGTACATTCATTTTTACAGATTTAGAAACATTAGTGTTTCATCTTCGTTAATACTAGGCAGACAACTTGTTCTAAGAATTCTGTGACATATTGTTTTCATTTTTCTATAAATTTTCTTCATCCTTGGGATTTGACCTCTGAAAAGATCCTCTCCTCTGATGAGAACATAGAATTTGTAGAAATTCAAGTGGAGGAACCCAGAGAGACATTAGTCTAGTGATGCTCAGTGTCCCTCTGCTCGCGTCACTCACTGCGAGGAGTTTCCTGCATATCCAGCCTTGGTACAGTGTCAACAAACACACTAAATTAATGGATTTGTTTAGCTCAGATAATACTTTATATTTTCAGTGTCGAGAGTTTGTGAAGGCAGGGGCATTGCGTGGTACGTCCCCAAATGATGTTGTCCAGAACTGTGACATCACCTTCACCTGTGTGGCCGACTCTGGAGCTGTCCGAGATGTGAGTAGCAGCACTATCAGCACTATCAGCACTATCAGCACTATCAGCACTAGTGTATAACGCTTCACTCAACAATATTCCATCTATATGTCAATGGCAGTCTGTAAATAATCGAAGCAACACCAGACATTCAGCGATTGACATCATGAGCATTGATCGATGCCATAGGGATACGATGACATGCAATCAACACAGTCAGTGAGCCTGACCACCTGATCCCATTCGTCGCTTCTTGTGACAAGCATGGTGTCGTTCCTTGTTGCAGATAAAGAAATAATCCGTTGCTTGTTTCATATTTGTAAATTTGTTTTCAGTATTAATGCGGAAAGATTCGAATATCAATGCTGATAGCAATTTTGGTTAAATCTGCTGTTTTGTACATTTTAGTCTTTTGACAACACATCTAGGCGTCCAAATGCTGTGGCACATGTTTTGTGTTTGCCAGTACAACAGTAGATAAGAAAACATAAATTTCTGCTTTGGACAACAGATGACTTTACATATTCTGTTATAGTAACCATCTGAAAATTCTGTTGCAGATTGTGTTTGGTAACTCTGGTGTGCTACAAGGAATCTCACGAGGGAAGTGTTATGTGGAGATGTCCACAGTGGATGAGGAGACTGTGGAAGATGTAGCAGAGGTAGGTGGCTGTGATCAGGGCATGTTCCTATATATGGGGGATTGATACATTCAATGCCAAGGTCCAGGATAGATCTATAGGGCATCACTTGTCACTTACAAAGCATTTAGTGACAACTTGTGCTAAGTGGGCCCAGTTGTCTAAGACACTGCAATTAGCTAGCAGAATCTAAAGGTCAAAGGTTTGAAGAGATTTGTTGTCATATTTGTTTTGGACATGTAAGCAAAATACCCAAAATGGTAAACATCTGAAACCTGCCTCAGTGGTATTAAACCAAACTTATTCACCATTGGAGAGTAAGGATGCTTGGTATTACTGATAGTTGAGGTTCATTATTTCCACGATACGTATCACAATATCTTTTTTAATATGGGGTTTATCTGGTGATTTCAGAATAGCATTTTTTATCATGTTATTAATGTTAGACACTTGCCAAATACCTTCAAAATGTGGTGTATAAGCCATCTTTTTCATAGACAGGTTGGCCAAATACATTTGGCAGTGTCAAGTATGGCACAATGGATGAAAGTATTTACATTTTTGCTACCAATAACACTTATTAAAGCAAACATTTAAGGTCAGAATCAATGTTTTTTACTTAGAGTGCTACTGTGATCGATACTTGTATCAAGAAGTAAAAAATTGTGCTCCACCGATGCATCAGTGCTTCATCCTGCTACTATTCAGCACCATATGAGTGTATTGTGTTGGGACATTTGGTAAGGGAATTATGTGTTGCGACACTGCTGTGATGATGTGTTTGGATGCACTGGTATGTGTGTGTTGCAGGCAATCATGGCAAGGGGTGGCGTGTTCCTGGAAGCGCCTGTTGTTGGGAGTCGGGTGCCAGCCCTAGAGGGACGATTGGTTATCCTCACATCAGGAGACAGGAAGCTCTACGATGACTGTTTCTCATGCTTTGAAGCCATGGGCAAAAAGTCATTTTACTTAGGAAGTAAGACATTTTCCTTGCTTATTTTGATCAGTAGGTTTTCAGCTTGTCCAATTTTTCTTGAAATTGATGTTGTGGCACTAAGCTTCCATGTTTGTCGTAAAAAGCAAATTTGCTTGTTGGAAGAGGTGACTAACAGGATCGGGTTGCCAGGCTTGCTGACTTGGTTGATGCATCGTATCCCAAAATTGCGTAGATTGATGCTCATGATGACAATCACAGGGTTGTCTGGTCCACACTCAATTATTTACAGACTGCCGTTATGTAGCTGTTATATTGCTGAGAGCTGCTAGCTTTAAGCAACAAAGTATGCAAGTTACCTGTTATCTTGTTATAAAAAGTGTTCTTTGTATACAGGGGTTTATGTTTGTAATCTGTTTTATTAAATGTATTCACAACACACACACACACGCACACGCACACGCACACACACACACACACATACACACACACACACACACACACACACATTGAATTTGTCTCACTGTCACTCCTTCCTTTAAGATGAAGTAGGCACTGCCACGCGGATGAAGCTCATCCACAATATGCTACTGGGCACCGTCATGGCAGGGCTGGCAGAGGCAATGGCACTCGCAGAGAAAGTGGGCATAGACATGGAGGATCTGTCAGAAGTTCTCTCCCTTGGCTCACTCTCCTGTCCTACCATTAATCATAAGAGTCAAGGTAGGCCCAATGGCACTGTAGTTAGCTGGTTCATGGGACATAGACTGATGGCAATATAACCCAAAGGCTGTTACTCGGAATTCTGAAATTTTGAAGTTAGCAAATGTCCTAAAATGAGTAGAAACTGCCAACATCCAAATCCTTATTTCACTTTCACTTTGACCTCATAAAATGTGTCTATCTGTCAAAACTTTCATTTTTGCTAAAACTAGTGAAAATGTCCAAAATTGAAAGTACATAAAAGAAAAAAAATCGTCATTTATTAAATTGGAAATGCTTTCCAAACAAACTATTTTCTGAATCTCATAAAGCACTTATTAATTGTTCTTTTTTTAATATTAATTGTTTGCATGCCTTCTTTTTTTTGTCTTTTCAGCAATTGTTAATGGCAAGTATCTTCTGCATAAACACTATCCGCGTTCTATAAACTGTTGAATATTTGGCTTGATAGTGCATGTTCCTGTTTGCACACTCAGTCCATAGTCTATGTTCACACAGTCCCTTGTTTCTGTTGTAACAGTAGTAACTTCTGTTATGATCCCTTATATCCATGTGGTTGTCTGATGCAGACTGGATTACTTATCCACAGACGTGCTTGTATAACAGTAATATTGCAGCTCACTCACTCACTCACTCACTCACTCACTCACTATCTCACTTACTATCATAGTTTTATTCACTCACTCACTCACTATCTCACTCACTGTTTCATTCACTCACTCACTATCTCACTCACTGTTTCATTCACTCACTCACTATCTCACTCACTATCTCAGTTACTACCTCACTTACTATCTCACTCACTGCTTCATTCACTGACTGACTGACTCACTCACTCACTATCTCACTCACTAAATATCTTACTTTTTTAAATCACTCACTATCTCACTCACTGCTTCATTCACTGACTGCCTGACTGACTCACTCACTCACTCACTATCTTACTTACTACCTCACTCACTATCTCACTCACTGTTTCATTCACTGACTCACTCACTATCTTACTTACTATCTCACTCACTGTTTCATTCACTGACTCACTATATCACTTACTCACTCACTATCTTACTATCTCACTCACTATCTCACTCACTCACTCACTATCTAACTATCTCACTCACTGTTTCATTCACTGACTCACTATCTTACTCACTGCTTCATTCACTGACCGACTCACTCACTCACTCTCTATCTAACTCACTCATTATCTCTCTCACTGTTTCATTCACTGACTGACTGACTCACTGACTCACTATCTCACTGACTCACTACCTCACTTACTATCTCACTCACTGTTTCATTCACTGACTCACTATCTCACTCACTGTTTCATTCACTGAGTGACTCACTCACTCACTGACTCACTATCTCACTGACTCACTTACTATCTCACTCACTATCTCACTACCTCACTTACTATCTCACTCACTGTTTCATTCACTGACTCACTATCTCACTCACTGTTTCATTCACTGAGTGACTCACTCACTCACTCACTCACTATCTCACTGACTCACTCACTATCTCACTCACTACCTCACTCTCGTCACGATATGGCTGAAATATTGCCGATGTGACGTAAAGCATAAACTCACTCACTCACTACCTCACTCACTATCTCACTTTTTCATTCACTCACTATCTTACTCACTCACTCTCTTACTCACTATCTCACTCACTCACTCACTATCTCACTCACTGTTTCATTCACTGACTGACTCACTCACTGACTATCTCACTACCTCACTTACTATCTCACTCACTGTTTCCTTCACTGACTCACTATCTCACTCACTCACTTACTATCTCACTCACTATCTTACTCACTATCTCACTACCCCACTTACTATCTCACTCACTGTTTCATTCACTGACTCACAATCTCACTCACTGTTTCATTCACTGAGTGACTCACTCACTCACTGACTCACTGTCTCACTCACTGACTCACTTACTCACTCACTATCTCACTCACTACCTCACTCACTACCTCACTCACTATCTCACTCACTATATTACTCACAACCTCATTCACTATCTCACTCACTGTTTCATTCACTCACTAACTATCTTACTATATTACTCACTCACTCTCTTACTCACTCACTATCTCACTCACTCACTATCTCACTCACTATCTTACTCACTCACTATCTCACTACCTCACTTACTATCTCACTCACTTTTTCCTTTCACTGACTCACTATCTCACTTCATTCACTGACTGACTGACTCACTCACTCTCTATCTAACTCACTCATTATCTCACTCACTCGCTATCTCACTCACTATCTTACTCACTACCTGACTGACTCACTGTTTCATTGACTAACTTACTATCTTACTCACTCACTCACTCACTATCTCACTCACTCACTCACTATCTTACTTACTATCTCACTCACTATCTCACTCACTGTCTTACTCACTACCTCATCCACTATCTTACTCACTGTTTCATTCACTCACTATCTCACTCACTCACTCACTATCTCACTCACTATCTTACTCACTGTCCTACTCACAGTCTTACTCACTATCTCACTCACTATCTTACTCACTATCTCACTCACTATCTCACTCACTGTTTCATTCACTCACTATCTCACTCACTCACTCACTATCTCACTCACTATCTTACTCATTGTTTCATTGACTAACTTACTATCTTACTCACTCACTCACTCACTATCTCACTCACTCACTCACTATCTTACTTACTATCTCACTCACTATCTCACTCACTGTCTTACTCACTACCTCATCCACTATCGTACTCACTGTTTCATTCACTCACTATCTCACTCACTCACTCACTATCTCACTCACTATCTCACTCACTGTTTCATTCACTCACTATCTCACTCACTCACTCACTATCTTACTCACTATCTCACTCACTATCTTACTCACTGTTTCATTCACTCACTATCTCACTCACTCACTCACTCACTATCTCACTCACTATCTTACTCACTGTCCTACTCACTGTCTTACTCACTATCTTACTCACTATCTCACTCACTGTCTTACTCACTGTCCTACTCACTATCTCACTCACTCACTATCTCACTCACTCACTATCTTACTCACTATCTCACTCACTATCTTACTCACTGTCCTACTCACTATCTCACTCACTGTCTTACTCACTATCTTACTCACTATCTCACTCACTGTCTTACTCACTATCTCACTCACTATCTTACTCACTATCTTACTCACTATCTTACTCACTATCTCACTCACTGTCTTACTCACTATCTTACTCACTATCTTACTCACTATCTTACTCACTCACTCACTATCTCACTCACTATCTTACTCACTGTCTCACTCACTGTCTTACTCACTATCTCACTCACTATCTTACTCACTGTCCTACTCACTATCTCACTCACTGTCTTACTCACTATCTTACTCACTATCTCACTCACTGTCTTACTCACTATCTCACTCACTATCTTACTCACTATCTTACTCACTATCTTACTCACTATCTTACTCACTATCTCACTCACTGTCTTACTCACTATCTTATTCACTATCTTACTCACTATCTTACTCACTATCTTACTCACTATCTCACTCACTATCTTACTCACTGTCCTACTCACTATCTTACTCACTGTCTTACTCACTATCTCACTCACTATCTCACTCACTATCTTACTCACTATCTCACTCACTATCTTACTCACTATCTCACTCACTGTCTTACTCTCTATCTTACTCACTATCTCACTCACTATCTTACTCACTGTCCTACTCACTATCTCACTCACTGTCTTACTCACTATCTTACTCACTATCTCACTCACTGTCTTACTCACTATCTCACTCACTATCTTACTCACTGTCCTACTCACTATCTCACTCACTGTCTTACTCACTATCTTACTCACTATCTCACTCACTGTCTTACTCACTATCTCACTCACTATCTGACTCACTGTCCTACTCACTATCTCACTCACTGTCTTACTCACTATCTTACTCACTATCTCACTCACTGTCTTACTCACTATCTCATTATCTTACTCACTGTCTTACTCACTATCGGGGCAGTCAGGTAGCCTAGTGGTTAAAGCGTTCGCTCGTGAGTAAGATCGCTCGCCACGCCGAAGACCCGGGTTCGATTCCCGACATGGGTACAATGTGTGAAGCCCATTTCTGGTGTCCCCCGCCTTGATGTTGCTGGAATATTGCTAAAAGCGGCGTAAAACCATACTCACTCACTCACTCACTCACTCACTCACTATCTCACTATCTCACTCACTATCTTACTGTTTCATTCACTCACTATCTCACTCACTATCTCACTAACTCACTATCTCACTCACTATCTTACTCACTATCTCACTATCTTACTCACTGTCTTACTCACTATCTCACTATATTACTCACTGTTTCATTCACTCACTCACTCCCTCACTATCTTACTATCTTACTCACTGTTTCATTCACTCACTCACTATCTCACTCACTCACTATCTCACTCACTCACTATCTTACTATCTTACTCACTGTTTCATTCACTGACTCACTATCTCACTCACTCACTATCTTACTCACTGTTTCATTCACTCACTCACTATCTCACTCACTCACTATCTTACTCACTGTTTCATTCACTGACTCACTATCTCACTGACACTCTCACTATCTTACTCACTGTTTCATTCACTGACTCACTATCTCACTCACTCACTATCTCACTCACTCACTATCTTACTCACTGTTTCATTCACTCACTCACTATCTCACTGACACTCTCACTATCTTACTCACTGTTTCATTCACTGACTCACTATCTCACTGACACTCTAACTATCTTACTCACTGTTTCATTCACTGAATCACTATCTCACTAACTCACTATCTCACTTACTCACTCACTCACTGTTTCATTCACTGACTCACTCACTCACTCACTATCTTACTATCTTACTCACTGTTTCATTCACTGACTCACTATCTCACTAACTCACTATCTCACTTACTCACTCACTCACTGTTTCATTCACTCACTCACTTTCTCACTCACTCACTATCTCACTCACTGTTTCATTCACTGTTTCATTCACTCACTCACTGACTATCTCACTCACACACTATCTCCCTAAACCATCCAGCCACCCACCAGTTGATGACAGTGGACATTTGAGTGAAACCGAATACTTTTGGTGTCACTTTACTCTACTTCCCAGTGCAATGAAGGTTGTTTGTTTTGCTTGTCCCAGAGGACCATACGCCAGATGAAATTTTGCTCTGAGGGCCATAAGTTTGTCATTATATTGTGAGTGATATGTGTTGCTTTCCCTGACAGCTTCTAGAAGACATTGTCTGTGACCTCCCTGGTGGTGTGGTGCATGTGTGTCTTGTAGGAGTTACCTCCCTCTCTCACCTTATTTACCTGTCCCCCTAGCTTCTTGACTTTGTCTCACTATCTCACTTATTAACTCTCTAAATGCAAGAAATAACAGAAAAAATAAGAAAACCTCAAGCTATTTTATAGTGAAACAATACAGTGTGTCGCGGTAAAAAAGAAATGCGATCAAAGCGTGCGAGAGAAGAAACATGTGCAGCATAGACAACTTAAACATTCCTAAATATTCTCTCATTACCTGTCCGGGTGGCTCAGTGGGACACCAGTGGGCTACAAAACTTCACATGATATGTGAGGTATCAGATTTGATTTCAGTCATCCATAATGAAAAAGTTTCATTTCTTGTCTTCGATTTTAGAACATTGGACATATGAAACACATAGTCCAAGTGTCATCTGTTACTCAGTCATCGGGTATCACCAGGAAACATATGAAACACATAGTCCAAGTGTCATCTGTTACTCAGTCATCGGGTATCACCAGGAAACATATGAAACACATAGTCCAAGTGTCATCTGTTACTCAGTCATCGGGTATCACCAGGAAACATATGAAACACATAGTCCAAGTGTCATCTGCTACTCAGTCATTGGGTATCACCAGGAAACATATGAAACACATAGTCCAAGTGACATCTGTTACTCAGTCATCGGGTATCACCAGGAAACATATGAAACACATAGTCCAAGTGTCATCTGCTACTCAGTCATCGGGTATCACCAGGAAACATATGAAACACATAGTCCAAGTGTCATCTGTTACTCAGTCATCGGGTATCACCAGGAAAAAGTAAAATCTCATACCAGGTCTTACTAGGAAAAAGTAAAACCTCCCAAGAGGTTATGAGATAGAAAGATACCTACAAATCTATAGGCAAAGGTGGCAGTATCAAACCTAGAGACTTGAGGTTTGATATAAGGAAACCTGTCACAGACACACCTTGGTTGAGGAGCTAATATGGACAGTCTTAACAATGCAAGGTCTATGGCAACCTTGGGACACTCGATTAATGCATGCTGGGGCAGCTCAACATCTTGCAGACATTTATTCTGCCAGGGGAGGATAGTGGCTACAGAAAGGTCTCCCCAATGTTGGATAACATTGGTGTTGGACACACCTCATCTGGACTTGTCTGGCACATGCCATAACAACAAGTTTCCAGTGTATGTCAGTCTGCTGTCGGATCTCCAAGCTCATTGAGCAGATGTTGATCATGGTATGGATGGGGATATTGGCATATGACTGTCGACCTTGTTCCTTCATAGACGGGGTTCTGAGGAAGATCGAGGACACAGACTGCGCCCAAATGGCCAGCCTAGCTGGGGTTTCCGCAGACTGTTTCCATTATTCTTGGACAAACCCCTGAGACTTCCGTAACACTGACATCTCCTACTCCAGCCCAGATCAGACATCATGTTCGGCAGCCTACTTCCACGGCACCTTCATACCTTCATGCTTGGAAGTTATCATACAAAGATGTAGACAAACTCCATCTACTCCAAACCTGCCTCAGCAACAGTTGCTCCATCTTCACCAGGATGCTAAGTTCTGCCACGGCATCATGGAAAGATACAGTTCGGCCCGATATACAGTTCTCCAGCCCAATGGGATATCTGTAGGAGATTATCCTGTCCACAACAGAACGATGAAATCGTTCCTGTTGGAGGACGTGTAAAACCCATGCTTCATTCTCAAATGTAACTGATCATTTTTTTTTATCTGATTGGGTCTTACCCGAGTTCGTGGCAAAGATCCAGTCTCCAGCTCTGGGATGATTAGGGCATAGACAATACATGAGTCGTGCCCTTTGCAAAGAGCTTGTATCCACCGGAGTGGTATCTCTGTTCTGTTCTGGCTTGCAGATTCTACTAACCAGCCACTCAACTGCATCGGAAATACAGAAAATATCTGTTAATCTTCTATACAAAAGATGTCTTGCATTTATTCTGAAAATTGGGCCTTTAGGTGATTTTGGGATGATGTATGCCTAATATTGGTCAAAGCACCTAGAATAGTGTTGTTTGGAACAATTAGGACCCAAATTTGATGAAAATCACGAAGTTTAATTTCAGTAGAACTGTTGACTATTGGCGTTTGGGTAGCCTAGTAGTTAAAACGTTCGCTGGCACACTGAAGACCCAGGTTCGATCCCCCACATGAGTACAATGTGTGAAGCCCATTTCTGGTGTCCCTGGCCGTGATGTTGCTGGAATATTGCTAAAAGCGGCATAAAACCATACTCACTCACTGACTCACTGTTGACTATCCAGGGCATAACTAGATGTCAGAACCTTTCGATCAGTCAGGGGTATTCAGGCAATGATGTAATAGAGGTTTTGTATTTGTAGGAATTATCAAACAATAGCCATCATTGTTAACAAGATAACTCTGATCCAAAGAATCAACATGGTGCAAAAATTTTTTGAATCATACCTACCTATTGATTCAAGTACCAATACTGACATAACCCTTTGGTAAGACAAATTGCAATTTGCATTTGGTATCTTCAGAAACAGGAATGAGAATATGGCACATTTCAGTTTAAATATTAATGTAATAATAAACATTTAAATATGAAAACAAAACTTTCAACAAGGAACAGGGGGTATTAAGTTGAAACAATCATAGTGGTAAACATGATTTTGTTGACATTGATATATCTCCAGTGGTAAAGTTATTAATATTTTTTTCATAATTGATCTTTTCAAAGAAGTAGTTACATTGTTGTTATATTATGTTTTAATGAACAGGATCAGTGGAGACATGAAGATATTGGTAAAACTGAAGCCCACAACCTTGTGAACCATGCTTCTTTGAGAGTTACCTCTCTAATGCTAATATGATTACTCCTGTAGCCTGACACGTCAATTATTCACGCTGTCCAAAACTTGGTCAATGTTTCACTGCAGCGAAAGTCTGTATGGGGATAGAGCTTGACTGGTTACCTGCTCTTCGCCTCCTAGTGGCTGCAGGCGAGGAGCACAAGTGCTCTAGAACAGAACCTGGCTTCCTCTCATGATCGGGCTGATTAAAACAAATATGTTTAGTGTAATAATTCACAGTTAGGAATGTTTTAAAAATATTTTCATAATTATTTACGCATATCATTATGCATATGTGAGACAAAGAAAAGGATTGTTGCAAAAGGTTTGTTTACATCTTTCCAACTATTACTCCTCTCCATGTAACTTTCTCAATCCAAAAACAAATAAAGCAACAAATAATTCAAAGAATATGACCTCTATTACATCAGGAGCTATCACACCTGCCTCCCCAGTAATCTGCATGCAGTTACTGATCATGATGTTAGAAACAAGTGAGGTTTTCCCCATGGCACATGTGCAAGAGATATAGGAAGAGAGATAATATTAGCGTCACAACATATTATAGGTAGTTGACAGTGAAGAGGACTTCTGGTGAAAATATTAAGAATTTTATAAGGTGATTACAACCAAAATACAGGATTTAGGTAATAATTTATTAGAGGTATAGTATTCTTTGAATACAGAGAGGACTAAAAATGGGATTCCCAGTGGTTGGATTATTGCTTTTTTTGTATGTGACCCACCTCAAAAAGTGCTTGACTTAGTCCATGATTAAGACCACTGCAGAACAAAATAACCCGTGATATATTGACAACCTGTGTGTGATGTGTGTACTGAGATGTGTGATATATATATCACACATATATGGTGGCTTCTGAACTTTGTATGTGTGTACTGAAGCATGTGATGTATGGAGTACTGACTAGTGTTCTCTCTTGCAGCAATGGTGAATGGCAAGTTTGACCCACACTTTCCCCTACAGCACCAGCAGAAAGATCTACGACTAGTCCTGGGCCTTGGGGATCGTGTGGAACAGCCGTTGTATGTCGCCTCTGCAGCTAATGAGGTAACTAACTGTAGTACTGTATGTCGTCTCCTCAGCTACTGAGGTAACTGACTGTAGTGCTGTATGTCATGTCCACAGCTACTGAGGTAACTGACTGTAGTACTGTATGTCATGTCCACAGCTACTGAGGTAACTGACTGTAGTGCTGTATGTCATGTCCACAGCTACTGAGGTAACTGACTGTAGTACTGTATGTCATGTCCACAGCTACTGAGGTAACTGACTGTAGTACTGTATGTCATGTCCACAGCTACTGAGGTAACTGACTGTAGTGCTGTATGTCATGTCCACAGCTACTGAGGTAACTAACTGTAGTACTGTATGTCATGTCCACAGCTACTGAGGTAACTGACTGTAGTGCTGTATGTCATGTCCACAGCTACTGAGGTAACTGACTGTAGTACTGTATGTCATGTCCACAGCTACTGAGGTAACTAACTGTAGTGCTGTATGTCATGTCCACAGCTACTGAGGTAACTGACTGTAGTACTGTATGTCATGTCCACAGCTACTGAGGTAACTGACTGTAGTACTGTATGTCATGTCCACAGCTACTGAGGTAACTGACTGTAGTGCTGTATGTCGTCACCTCAGCTACTGAGGTAACTGACTGTAGTACTGTATGTCGTCTCAATAGTTACTGAGGTAACTGACTGTAGTACTGTACCTTGTCAGCAAATGAGGTAACTGTTGTACAGTTAGTTACCATGTCAGCTAATGAGGTAACTGTCATACCGTTTGTAACCTTGTCAGCTAATGAGGTAACTGTAGTACTGTTTGTTACCTTGTCAGCTAATGAGTTAACTGTTTTTATCCCCCACCCAACAAAGTTGGCGGGGGATATAGAAACAGGTTCCGTCCGTCCGTCCGTCTGTCCGTCACGTTTCGTTTCCGGAGCATAACTCATAAATCGTTCAATATTTTTTCATCAAACTTTGCAGGTCTGTCAGGTACATGCTGAACTGGTGCCTTTTGCTATTTAGAAATTTTAGAAATTTTTATATTTTACGTTTCCATGGCAACAAGATGGACTTAGGTTCTGTGAGGGTAGGGTTCGTTTCCGGAGCATAACTCATCAACCGTTCAATATTTTTACATCAAACTTTGCAGGTCTGTCAGGTACATGCTGAACTGGTGCCTTTTGCTATTTAGAAATTTTAGAATTTTATATTTTTTACGTTTCCATGCCAACAAGATGGACTTAGGTTCCAAACTCTTCTTTTTTTATCCCCCCGGCATATAATGCAGGGGGATATAGCGATCAGCCAGTCTGTCCGTCCGTCCGTCTGTCCGTCCGTAATCATTTCCTTTTCCGGGACAGAATTCGAAAACCATTCAGTGTATTTGATCGAAACTTGGCAAGGCTATCAGGCACATACTGAAGTGGTGCCTTTTGATATTTTGGGATTTTTTTAATTTTAATTTTTTAAAATTTTTATGGAATGAAGTTGGACATGGACTCAATTGGGGATGGGGTTTGTTTCCGGGTCAGAATACGAAAACCATTCAGTGTATTTAATTGAAACTTGGCAAATCTATCAGGCACATACTGAAGTGGTGCCTTTTGATATTTATTTTTTTATGAATTTTTATTTTTTACAATTTTTATGGAAAGAACGGGTTCATTTCCGGGCCAGAATTTGAAAACCATTCAGTGGGTAAACAATGTATGCTTCTTAAAGAACATTCAACTGTTGACTCATTACATACAGAATTGCACATTAACTAGTGGTTACTTTACAGACAGCTGCCGGGGGGAAATGTCATCTTTCTGATGACTCTTGTTTTACAATTTCCATGACAAGTTCCACCGCTAAAAAAGGTTAGGGTTTGTTTAGATTTAATTATGTCATAAATTCTGCAACAGGGGCGGGGGATATAGCCATGTTAGTGGCAAACTCTTGTACTATTTTTTACCTTGTCAGCAAATAAGATTACTGTTGTACCGTTTGTTACCTTGTCAGCTAATGAGGTAACTGTTGTACCGTTTGTTACCTTGTCAGCTAACGAGGTAACTGTTGTACCGTTTGTTTCCTTGTCAGCTAACGAGGTAACTGTTGTACAGTTAGTTACCTTGTCAGCTAATGAGGTAACTGTTGTACCGTTTGTTTCCTTGTCAGCTAATGAGGTAACTGTTGTACAGTTAGTTACCATGTCAGCTAATGAGGTAACTGTTGTACCGTTTGTTACCTTGTCAGCTAATGAGGTAACTGTTGTACCGTTTGTTACCTTGTCAGCTAATGAGGTAACTGTTGTACCGTTTGTTACCTTGTCAGCTAATGACGTAACTGTTGTACCGTTTGTTACCTTGTCAGCTAATGAGGTTACTGTTGTACCGTTTGTTACCTTGTCAGCTAATGAGGTAACTGTTGTACCGTTTGTTACCTTGTCAGCTAATGAGGTTACTGTTGTACCGTTTGTTACCTTGTCAGCTAATGAGGTTACTGTTGTATACATTTGTTACCTTGTCAGCTAATGATGTTACTGTTGTACCGTTTGTTACCTTGTCAGCTAATGAGGTAACTGTTGTACCGTTTGTTACCTTGTCAGCTAATGAGGTTACTGTTGTACCGTTTGTTACCTTGTCAGCTAATGAGGTAACTGTTGTACCGTTTGTTACATTGTCAGCTAATGAGGTAACTGTTGTACCGTTTGTTACCTTGTCAGCTAATGAGGTTACTGTTGTACCGTTTGTTACCTTGTCAGCTAATGAGGTTACTGTTGTACCGTTTGTTACCTTGTCAGCTAATGAGGTTACTGTTGTACCGTTTGTTACCTTGTCAGCTAATGAGGTAACTGTTGTACCGTTTGTTACCTTGTCAGCTAATGAGGTAACTGTTGTACCGTTTGTTACCTTGTCAGCTAATGAGGTTACTGTTGTACCGTTTGTTACCTTGTCAGCTAATGAGGTTACTGTTGTACCGTTTGTTACCTTGTCAGCTAATGAGGTAACTGTTGTACCGTTTGTTACCTTGTCAGCTAATGAGGTAAATGTTGTACCGTTTGTTACCTTGTCAGCTAATGAGGTTACTGTTGTATACGTTTGTTACCTTGTCAGCTAATGAGGTAACTGTTGTACCGTTTGTTACCTTGTCAGCTAACGAGGTAACTGTTGTACCGTTTGTTACCTTGTCAGCTAATGAGGTTACTGTTGTACCGTTTGTTACCTTGTCAGCTAATGAGGTAACTGTTGTACCGTTTGTTACCTTGTCAGCTAATGAGGTTACTGTTGTACCGTTTGTTACCTTGTCAGCTAATGAGGTTACTGTTGTACCGTTTGTTACCTTGTCAGCTAATGACAATACTGTCATACCGTTTGTTACCTTGTCAGCTAATGAGGTTACTGTTGTACCGTTTGTTACCTTGTCAGCTAATGAGGTTACTGTTGTACCGTTTGTTTCCTTGTCAGCTAATGAGGTAACTGTTGTACCGTTTGTTACCTTGTCAGCTAATGAGGTAACTGTTGTACCGTTTGTTACCTTGTCAGCTAATGAGGTTACTGTTGTACCGTTTGTTACCTTGTCAGCTAATGAGGTTACTGTTGTACCGTTTGTTACCTTGTCAGCTAATGAGGTAACTGTTGTACCGTTTGTTACCTTGTCAGCTAATGAGGTAACTGTTGTACCGTTTGTTTCCTTGTCAGCTAATGATGTAACTGTTGTACCGTTTGTTACCTTGTCAGCTAATGATGTAACTGTTGTACCGTTTGTTTCCTTGTCAGCTAATGAGGTAACTGTTGTACCGTTTGTTACCTTGTCAGCTAATGATGTAACTGTTGTACCGTTTGTTACCTTGTCAGCTAATGATGTAACTGTTGTACCGTTTGTTACCTTGTCAGCTAATGAGGTAACTGTTGTACCGTTTGTTACCTTGTCAGCTAATGAGGTAACTGTTGTACCGTTTGTTTCCTTGTCAGCTAATGAGGTAACTGTTGTACCGTTTGTTTCCTTGTCAGCTAATGAGGTAACTGTTGTACCGTTTGTTTCCTTGTCAGCTAATGAGGTAACTGTTGTACCGTTTGTTACCTTGTCAGCTAATGATGTTACTGTTGTACCGTTTGTTACCTTGTCAGCTAATGAGGTAACTGTTGTACCGTTTGTTACCTTGTCAGCTAATGAGGTTACTGTTGTACCGTTTGTTACCTTGTCAGCTAATGATGTAACTGTTGTACCGTTTGTTACCTTGTCAGCTAATGATGTAACTGTTGTACCGTTTGTTACCTTGTCAGCTAATGAGGTAACTGTTGTACCGTTTGTTACCTTGTCAGCTAATGAGGTTACTGTTGTACCGTTTGTTTCCTTGTCAGCTAATGAGGTTACTGTTGTACCGTTTGTTTCCTTGTCAGCTAATGATGTTACTGTTGTACCGTTTGTTTCCTTGTCAGCTAATGAGGTAACTGTTGTACCGTTTGTTACCTTGTCAGCTAATGAGGTAACTGTTGTACCGTTTGTTACCTTGTCAGCTAATGAGGTAACTGTTGTACCGTTTGTTACCTTGTCAGCTAATGAGGTTACTGTTGTACCGTTTGTTTCCTTGTCAGCTAATGAGGTTACTGTTGTACCGTTTGTTTCCTTGTCAGCTAATGATGTTACTGTTGTACCGTTTGTTTCCTTGTCAGCTAATGAGGTAACTGTTGTACCGTTTGTTACCTTGTCAGCTAATGAGGTAACTGTTGTACCGTTTGTTACCTTGTCAGCTAATAAGGTAACTGTTGTACCGTTTGTTACCTTGTCAGCTAATGAGGTTACTGTTGTACCGTTTGTTACCTTGTCAGCTAATGAGGTAACTGTTGTACCGTTTGTTTCCTTGTCAGCTAATGAGGTAACTGTTGTACCGTTTGTTACCTTGTCAGCTAATGATGTTACTGTTGTACCGTTTGTTACCTTGTCAGCTAATGAGGTAACTGTTGTACCGTTTGTTACCTTGTCAGCTAATGAGGTAACTGTTGTACCTTTTGTTACCTTGTCAGCTAATGATGTAACTGTTGTACCGTTTGTTACCTTGTCAGCTAATGAGGTAACTGTTGTACCGTTTGTTACCTTGTCAGCTAATGAGGTTACTGTTGTACCGTTTGTTTCCTTGTCAGCTAATGACAATACTGTCATACCGTTTGTTACCTTGTCAGCTAATGAGGTTACTGTTGTACCGTTTGTTACCTTGTCAGCTAATGAGGTAACTGTTGTACCGTTTGTTACCTTGTCAGCTAATGAGGTAACTGTTGTACCGTTTGTTACCTTGTCAGCTAATGAGGTAACTGTTGTACTGTTTGTTACCTTGTCAGCTAATGAGGTAACTGTTGTACCGTTTGTTACCTTGCCAGCTAATGAGGTTACTGTTGTACCGTTTGTTACCTTGTCAGCTAATGAGGTTACTGTTGTACCGTTTGTTACCTTGTCAGCTAATGAGGTAACTGTTGTACCGTTTGTTACCTTGTCAGCTAATGAGGTAACTGTTATACCGTTTGTTACCTTGTCAGCTAATGACAATACTGTCATACCGTTTGTTACCTTGTCAGCTAATGAGGTAACTGTTGTACCGTTTGTTACCTTGTCAGCTAATGAGGTAACTGTTGTACCGTTTGTTACCTTGTCAGCTAATGAGGTAACTGTTGTACTGTTTGTTACCTTGTCAGCTAATGAGGTAACTGTTGTACCGTTTGTTACCTTGTCAGCTAATGAGGTAACTGTTGTACCGTTTGTTACCTTGTCAGCTAATGAGGTTACTGTTGTACCGTTTGTTACCTTGTCAGCTAATGAGGTAACTGTTGTACCGTTTGTTACCTTGTCAGCTAATGAGGTAACTGTTGTACCGTTTGTTACCTTGTCAGCTAATGAGGTAACTGTTGTACCGTTTGGCGTTTGTTACCTTGTCAGCTAATGATGTAACTGTTGTACCGTTTGTTACCTTGTCAGCTAATGAGGTAACTGTTGTACCGTTTGTTTCCTTGTCAGCTAATGAGGTAACTGTTGTACCGTTTGTTTCCTTGTCAGCTAATGAGGTAACTGTTGTACCGTTTGTTTCCTTGTCAGCTAATGAGGTAACTGTTGTACCGTTTGTTACCTTGTCAGCTAATGAGGTAACTGTTGTACCGTTTTTTACCTTGTCAGCTAATGAGATAACTGTTGTACCGTTTGTTACCTTGTCAGCTAATGAGGTAACTGTTGTACCGTTTGTTACCTTGTCAGCTAATGAGGTAACTGTTGTACCGTTTGTTACCTTGTCAGCGAATGAGGTAACTGTTGTACCGTTTGTTTCCTTGTCAGCTAATGAGGTAACTGTTGTACCGTTTGTTACCTTGTCAGCTAATGATGTAACTGTTGTACCGTTTGTTACCTTGTCAGCTAATGAGGTAACTGTTGTACCGTTTGTTACCTTGTCAGCTAATGAGGTTACTGTTGTACCGTTTGTTACCTTGTCAGCTAATGAGGTTACTGTTGTACCGTTTGTTACCTTGTTAGCTAATGAGGTAACTGTTGTACCGTTTGTTACCTTGTCAGCTAATGATGTATATCATTACCAGTTACCTGTCCCATTGTTTGTGGGAACACCCACAACACCCACACATGGGGAGAACCCTATCTATTGGTATGAGGAAAGTTTGGCAACAGTTTGATGGGCAGCAAGTAGGCACCACATCATTGTGATCAATGAATGTATGGAGCTTATTACTAGACTCTCCTGCTCGGTGACCTCAACAAGTGTATCAATGGTTTATTGTGTGGATAACACTCTCTATGGGATCAGGAACACTCTTAAAGTTTCCTAACAGTCATTTCTATTTTCAGATGTTCAAGAAAGCTCGCAGCCTTGGATTCAGCGAGAGTGACATTTCAGCAGTGGTTCGAGCTGCAAATGCATGATGAGAACCTTGAGATCAGCCAATCACTACATGTGTTTCAGAACAATTAAATGAAACAGTTTCCTCAGAAAAGTGTTGGAGTTTATGTAGAAGAAACTTGGTAGGACGACCAAGACAAGGACTGCAAGAAAGGGTCATTGTAAATGTCCATCTTTAACAATGTGCAGGCGTTCTCCTGTCAGCAGTGGCATTGCATGGAAAGAACTTGATGTGACAAGATTTTATTTATGTATTTTAGAAGTCTCAGCATTGATGCAAGCATTAAAGGGAAAGCCATTTTCCCAATTACTTAAGGTCTCTGAAACCAGCAAGACAGAACAAGTGCTTGCAAGCTAACATTACTGTTCATCACTTATGCCAATACCATAAGTTTCTGTCTGAGGAAGTAACATTCAGGATGTAAATGAAATTTTCATTTGATTGTATAGAAAAAAATTGTAGATGAGAAGTTTGTATAGATTTCTATTTTTAGCTTTAAGAAAGCCCAGTGCATAACAGCAATGGAGCAAAAGGGAAATGAGATGAAAGTGTGTTGATAATGTAGAAGATGTTAATATAAATATTATGTAGCAGAACTTATTTATTTGGAGAAATCCCCAAACTTGTTAAGAAAGGTATTTTTTGTCCTAATTTTCAAAACTGAACAGCTGTGGAACATTTGTTGTTGCTTTAATTCAGTTGTGTGAAGGCGCCTCAAAGTGTTCATTTGGGAGTCTGTACTAACATTTCTTACAAGTTATGTTAACGTTTTTAGATGGGTCTTTTAATATTAATTTTATGTTTTACATGAACTTAATTAACTTGTTTGTTTAATCTAAGAACCAAGCTGTGGTGATTTCATTTTAATATTTTTTGTTTTTTTTGCACTGCCAGACAACCATGATTGCAAAACAAGGATATTGACCGATTAATTTTACCTGATGGAGTCACTGATTGGTGGGCTTTTGCAGAGGAGAGATCTGGGCAAATGGTAGAAACCTGGCACAGTCTCTGATTCATAGGCTCTCGCAGAGGAGAGATCTGGGCAAATGGTAGAAAGACAAGATTTCTTCTTCTTTTTTTAAATTTCTGGTAGGAAATAATCAGTAGAATAAAAGAGTGATTGAAATGGCCAGTAGAAGTTGAAACTGCATTGACTGGTTAGCTGAAATAAAAGGGATAGTAACTATACCAAGACAAGTTTGTCCAAATGAATATCTTCTTGTCAAATATACATGGAGTCTGCAGCAGCAGATTTGGCAAGTATTGCCAGACATTGTTTGAATATCCCAAAGTAGAAATTGTTGCTACGTTTTTAGACTTAATGGGAATTACAGATATTCAGTCGTACTAGCCTCATTGTAATTTGACACTCCAACATTTTGTTATCATTTCACTTCACCCAATATACATACGTACCACATTCAACTGTAATGGTGTTAGCTAGCAAATATCAAATATATTTTTTACTCATACCAAATATGAATTCTCTGTCATGTGAAGAGACTGGTTTGGTAAGGTATCAGGTAGGGTTAAGTTCAGATACCAGTAAATGCTGTATGCATGAGTCAGTCTGTGACTTTAGCTGCTAATCCTAAGTCCAAGTGCAGTGAAATTCTGTTCGGGCTAGTAAGGTCAGCTAATAATAATCCACATGATAACACAACATCCTAACTGAAAAGGATGCCAAGAGCCAAGTTTGGGCTAGTAGCCTCCAAAGTATTTGGTACAGACTGATATGTATGGAGACTTATCATCCTGCCTGAATTTTACGAATGGACTGGTTGTTTTTCGTTAAGCAGAGATGGTCATGTAAATATCATTCCTATATTTGTAATCATACTTTCTGTTCAGCTGTGTGTATATGCATGATACAACTGTGGTCTTTTGTCACATAATTATACTACTGACTTTGTGAGGCAGAGTATTGTCCCACAACATCTATGGATTCACAAGTCAAAATAATAATCTTAGATTGAAAGGCATACTGAGTTTGGTGTTGACATAGTTTTAGTATATTTTGTGTATTGAGTAGAACTATGATACAATTAATTGTAGATAGGTGTGATTGAATCCTGATTTTGTATGATATAGAAAACTTTCAATCATGACCACAGATTTTTACAGAAAAAGTTTTCTGTTTGATCTTTGCCTCAAGTTGAGGCCCTCAGGCAGATCTAAAGCAAACTATCAGTGCGTAGCAGTGTGGTAGAAATGTGATTGCTTTGGTTTTGTTTTGTTTTTTTACTGTATCAAGAAATGGATATAGACATCATGACTTTGCCATGATTAGCTGTCAATTTTAACTTCTACCAAGATGTCAAATTGAAATGGATTTTAACTTGTTAGGAAGCAAGGGTAGAATGTTTCTGTTGCGAACAAATTGCTACTGTGTTTCTACTTGTGTTTGTTCCTGTGTTGGATTCCATGTGTTGTATGTCCTCATCACATTCATCGTTTGAACCATCAAGTCAACAGCCATTTAATAAATATCTCAATCTCAGTCTTGTGTGTACATTATTCAACTTTGAAGCATGCAAGTTTTTTACAGCTGTCGCAGGGTTCTACAAAAAGGCTGGTCCACTAAAACATTGCTTGTAAGGTGTAAAAAAATAAAAGAATTGGTTCTCAGGCAATAGCTTTTGAAAATATAGTGAGAGCGGGCAGTGTTTTGTGTGTGTTTCATTGAATTTCATTTACATTAACTTCGGCAAAATGGTGAATGAACACTGCACAGATCGGCAAATGACATTGACTCACCATAAACTCGCCTTTAGTCGTTAGAGATACATAGTGTTTGGTCTTCCGATCACTGTATTGAAATTTCTTTTCAGTTATGATATTGGCCATGACATTAAGTATTTTTTAAACTAAAAGACTCATAGGTTGGGGAAAAAATGTGTTATGAGACAAATACACATGTAATCTTAATCTCTGAGTATGAAAGATACAGTAAACAAGTACCATTTAATTTGTAAATCATTACGTCTTGCCATGTTTTATTGTAGATTTTTTTTTACCAAATTTGCAAACTTCTATTGCCGCCATGACCATAACACCAGACATGCAGTAAAGCAGTGCCCATGTAAAGGGAAGTAACTGCACGTGATATTGGATTGCATTGTTTTTAAATATTGTAGCATTTCCCTGACACACACCTCCCCCTCCCCGGGTTCTTATTAATTTTTAGGACTTTTCTTTTTTGAAAATGGAAAGAAAATGTGCGGCAGACTTGATAATGATGCGGGCGGTGCATGAGAACTAAGACTATTGGTTTGACTTGTTTTTAAGTTGTTGTATGGCACGCTCCACAGCTAGGTGTCAAGCCATCTGGCAGGGACAGGATACCCTCTCACGACTTGCCTTCGGATACTTTGTATCAGGATTATTCTTCTGCTTCAGCAGAGGTGGATACTGCACATTTTGTGCCAAAAGACGTTAAAAGATTTGTGCTTGGTACTTGTTGTTAGTCTGTCTGGCGCTCGGTATTAAGGAGCTAAAACAAGGACTGGTCAGCTGGGAGTCAGCATACTGTGTCTGAGTGGGGAATTCATGTATAAATGCGACATCAGTGCATGCACATCACTATATATGTGCAATAATCTTGAATGCAATGTTAAACCCAATTTCACCTCACCCCACCTCACCTCACCTCATCTGACCTGATAAACAGCAACCCATGATTGCAGTAAAAGGCAACTATGCTTGTCGTAAGATGTGACTAACGGGATCGGGTGGTCAGGCTAGCTGACTTGGTTGATGCATGTCATCGTACCCCAATTGCGTGGATCGATGCTCATGATGTCAATCACTGGATTGTCTGGTCCAGACTCGATTATTTACTGACCCCCATCACATAGCTGGAATATTGCTGAGTGCAGCATTAAACAACAAACAAACAAACAAACAGTATCTGGACAAGATGACCATGAGGATGAAGCTGCAGTAAAATACTTGTTTGAGCTGCTCTGCAGGTACTGCTGCAAGAGCAAAAGCCCTTGTAGAAGTAGTCTAGTCAGTCACAGGTAACCACACCCAGAGGTCTGTAAACAGAGACTCAGTACAGTCTACTCTAGTCAGTCATGGACTGTAAACAGGCTCAGTACAGACTATTTTGTATCTGCTTTCGTAATTTAACATTTCATTTACTTTCGAAAACATTTAATTACAGCCGTTGAGTGGGGGTCTTACCCCCCCAAAAAACGGTTATTTTAGGGAGGCAACAAAAATGGCATCTGAAAACCTTAGAAACCGTTAATAAGGAATGAGTGCACATCCCCAAACAAAATGGGGGAAGGTGTCAGGTATACTGCATTCTTGCGAAGACTTATCTCAGTCCACATTAAATTACTTCCTCAAATATTGTATTTGGCGATGAGGTGGCACAGGGAAATGCATCTTAAACTTGAATTATTTTTTAGAATGACATTATTTGCAGAGGTTAATATCCCTGTCTGTTTCCATATCATAATAAACGACGAAGTTGAAAGTTGTTTATCGTACAATAAAACACTGCAGGGAGAATATGCCATGAGGGACACTGCAGGGAGAATAAACCATGAGGTGAGCAGAGTGGTTTATTCTCCCTGCAATGTTTTATTGTACGATAAACAACAACCACAAGTTGTTTATTTCTTATTCGAGATATCAACATTTTGTACAGCCCCTTTAAGAATGTAAATAAAATGTACAAACTTTAAACATAATTACCCAGATTTTCATAATGATGACTCCCTGAATAGAATCCTACCGCAGCAATGTCAGACAGGTGAATTTTATGAAAATGTCCAATATACAACGTCATCAAGTTGCAAGCGCATGTTCAAATCTCAAGAAATGACGTCATGACAGAACGTTGTCTCATGAAATAAACCAGGCTTCGTTCTTCATTGTTCTTTGTCATTTATCGCATAACTATCTTACAATTTACAATACAGAAACACTTTTGGCTAATTATCTCTTTGTATATTTCAGTTAATTGATGAAATGTTAATATCTTTGAAACAAATTAAGTATGTTTGCTTCATTATAAATAAACTTAATATGCTGCTTACTTCCAATCACTAAGTGGCTGCTCATGGTGCCACATATATATATATATATATACTCTTCAAAAAAAGAAACTTGACACTGACTTTCAAAATGTAATATAATGCGATTGTTTCAAAATAGGACACAGAAACCATAATTGAAACACTGTTTGAAGATCAATGTACACAATGTTCAAAACATTAATCGTGTCACCTAGAGAGACACACTTACACGATACAGTAAATGTCACAGGGGTACAGAAAATGTCAGTATCGGTTGTGCCCACCACGTGCATCAATCACTGCTTGACACCAACGACCCATAGATGCAATCAAGTTGTCAATAACAAGCTGTTGGATGTGCTGCCATTCATGCTGAAGTGCATCAAGAAGCGCCGGAATTTTCAAGATGTTAGAGGCCGCCATTGGCCACGGCGTGGATCCAAATTACCAACCCATGGACCAGCCAGCAAGCCAGCTTGCTGGCCAGCCACCACTAGACCAGAGAACAATACGGTACGGGAGCCACACAGTATCCAGGGACATGCCGTCCAAGGCAACCAGCCAAATGCCTCCCACGGCATTCCAGCCGATTACAGCGACAACAGCTTCTATCCAGATTAGGTCAAGGCCATATCTAGACAGACCAAGTGGTTTTTGACATCACAACCACAACCTTCAACGGGAAACTCAGAAATGTGATAGATGAAGTGAAACAAGAAACAGCCGAGTGTTTCCAGACTTCAACCATGGACTCTGTGTCCAAACAACCTCCTGTGAAGAAGTTAGTTCCCTGCAGAGACGGAGGTATGACAACCCACAATCTTCACAGGACTCTTTTCACCAGCCAAGGGGATATAACTGCCATGGAAGATCAAGCAGCAGAGGGGAAAGAAAATTCTGACTTCCTTACAACCCCCTCCGACGTTATAGACCCTTTCGACCTGGTTACGTCTATGGATTGCGATTTACGCCTACTGTCTTTCAACATAATGCTGACTCCGGGCCCAGTGGGAGGGTGCCTTCTGACTACTGGATTCTTGACGTCATGGCTCACGGTTACAAGATACACTTCAGGAAACATCCGAGCCCGAACATACACGCTGTGGGTTGAAGGTTTCACCTGACCGGTGCCAAGTTAGCAGCTGCAGAATTGGCTGTCAGGAAACTACTAAAGAAGCGAGCCATTCGGGAACTAAAGGAGTCCAAATATCTACACTTCGCAATTAATGGCTGACGCTACGAATTCCAAGTCCTACCATTCAGGATAGCAATAGCACCTTGACTATTCACCAGAATTACAGCGCCAGTCATCAAGTTCGCCCATCTCCAGCTTGTTCGAATCAAGGGTTATCTGGACGACTTCTTAGCGGCAGACCAAGGGAAAAATCAGCTACAGCAGAACATGATATTCTTGGTCCAACTTATGACTTACTTGGGGTTCCTGGTCAACCAAGCCAAGTCAGAGATCACTCCGGTCAAAGACATTATATACATCAGAGCAAGATTCCAGCTAGACAGGGGATATCTATGTCACCAGAGGATCAATTCGACAAGACTATAAACATGATTCAATCCATCTCAAGTCAACCCAGCAAGTCACTGAGGTGGTGGATGTCTCTGCTAGGCAACTTGACATCTCTACAGGATATGACCTTCAGAGGAAGGCTGAGGCTACCTCCTCTACAGACATAGGTAAACTCAAAACGATTGAAGGGCCTACAGTTCCAGTCTCAGTTACCTTCCAGTTTGCTACAAGACCTCCATTGGTGGAATCGCAGAGAACATGTGATGAGTGGCATCCCTCTGACTTATCTGACGCCAGAACATCATCTATTCACAGACAGATTCAGATTAGAGCTCATATGGATGATCTCACAGTACAGGGATTGTGGAACACAGAAGAGAAAAACCTTCATATCAACTGCAGGGAAATGAAGGCCATATATTACGCCATCCTCGAATAGAGAACATAACTTCATCTATCATCAGTTCTCATAGCCACGGACAACACCACAGTAGTGGCCTATATTCAGAAGCAGGGAGGAACCAGATCCAACTCCCTGATGACAGAGAGTACTACACAATTGTTTGCCTTGGCAGACTCCTTCAACTGCCAGATTGAAGCAAGACATATACCCTTGAAACTGAACATACTGGCCGACAGCCTCACCTGTTGGGGAAGAATAGTGGCAACAGAATGGACATTACATCCACCGATCTTCAGCTGGATAACCAAGATATGGACATGCCACATATAGATCCATTCGTCACCTGCCAGAACAACCAACTTCCAGTTTATGTCAGTCCAGTTCCTGACCCAACAGCTCACCAGATCGACGCTCTTTGGATGGTTTGGACGACCCATTCGGCCATACATTCCGACCATGATCTCCCCTGGACAAGGTCATCCACAAGGTGGAGGAGACTGATTGCATAATTATACTGATAGCCCCAGTATGGCCCTGCAGGG